CCATAATATCCACATTACTCATAGAAGAGATACCAGTTACTGTGTGATCCACTTGTCATTCACTGATTAACTTTTACTTTTTATACCTATAACAAATATATCCTTAAAAATGTAAACAGATCTTTATATTTTATACTAACCTGGCTACATCTGGATATTCCATTAACAATTTTCTTAAATATTTAATATTCATTTTAAAAAGATCATAGTTATTCTCAAAAAGTCTATTTCAAAAGCAAAAAAAAGTATTTCTGACATCAATCAACAACCATATTGACTTTAATTTGACAGTGACATTTCGTTTTAGACACACATTTCAGATCACAATAATGTGAAATTTGTCTAGGACCAATTAAAAAAATACTTCTATGACATTTATTCGTTTCTTAACCGCTCATTGGCCGTTCACCGACTAAGGCCGATAAAGATAATTATTTCATAAATTTTGAACACGACTATATTTCGAAACTCGCTCTTAGTAATAAATCTAGTTACTTTTCCCTGTGTAAATGCGTCTTTTCAATTCGCTCCTCCTAGTTTAAAAACAGAGTATAGAGATTTACATTCAAAGATATATAACCAAGAAAGATATGAAAATTTGAAAATGTTTTGAAGCCAACATCGCGATTCCAAGGTCGTTTAGGATTCCTCCTTCCTGACTATATATATTCTAAGGAAGAGTATGACCCCATTTCATCGTCTTGTTTATATGTGGATAAGCAGTCTATATAAACTATATCTCATTGAATACGGCTTGTAAAAATTGACAATTTCAAGACTTTGTCATATGTATATCAAATTTTGAAATGTTTAAAGAATGTCATTAGTTTTAGCGTTTAAATGTAGTTTTTGAAATTTAAAATGGCGTATAGATGACTTTCAATACAGTTTTTTAAAATGGTAAGTATTTATTCACAATTTAATTTATTTATAAACCATTTTTCTATAATTTTACTACCTTTATAAGTTATTGTGTAGCTACAAATATTTCCGCAAACAAGCAATCCTTGTTTATTTATCAGTTTAGTTTCACATTTCAAAAAGGATGAGAACATTTTTGTGTTTAGGCGATTAGAGCATCTGGTAAGAAAAATTGTTTGGACTGCGAGAATTACAAAAGGAAATTAAAGGAAAATGACCACACCGTATCAGCAAGAGACGTTCTCATCGAAATGTTACAAACAGAACTCAAAAAGAAAGAAGGCTTGTATCGAAACGCTATAGACGAACATGAAAAGTTACGGTTTATGCATTGCTCCGTAGTCCAAGACTACACAAATCTCAAAGAGATTCACAAGAAGGTATGTATCTAATACTAAATCGATGAAAAATTAATTATTTATTAAAAGGAACCAAAATGGGTTGTGTTCACTTCGGTCGCATGATCTTTTTTGGCTTCATCTTTTACGGCCTTGGTACAAAATAACTATTATTTGATTTGTTTCAGTTAACTGAGGAAAATAGAAAACTTTGCGAAGAAAACCAAAATCTTCTTGACAAAATTAAAGAAATTGAAAATTTGCCAAAATCATCCACTGAACTTAATGATCAGTTAAGTATAAATAAATCAGATCCAGTCCAAAATTATAGGAGTGGCTCACTTATTATTTATATCCTATCCAAGGATGCTAACTTTCAAAATTCCATACAAGATGATTCATTAAGAATGGGCAATCTCTGCACTAAAGATAGTAAACACCAAAATATGGGGATTTAGCCATCCCTCATAAAAATGTTGCTGGTTTAGGAGAAAATTTTAAGTTAAAATATCTTAATAACCTTATAAGTGTTAACAGCATTATCCTGCTCACCAAATGGATCTTGTGGTTTAACTCTTCTGTACGATCAACTTTTGCAGTGATTTTTCTCTTAGATCTTCTTATATTTTTTCTTTTCTTCGCATTTGTCCTTTATTTTGTCTACGTTGGTTGTGGAATTTAAAGCAATCGGGCGCTGACTTGCGTTTTTTTTTGTTATCCAATTATAATACTTTTGGTAACACTACAATTTTTTAATGAAACGTGCTCTTCATTGTTACGTTTGATATTTTTTGTCACGGAGTTTTCATTTAGCTTGGGTGAGGGTGTTCTTTCCAAAGCGTTCTTGAAAAAAGGACAGTTGTTGACAAGTTTCAGATACATTGAAGACGTATCTGGACTTGTATTTGATGAACCCGGTTGATTTTCAGGTTAGTCTTCTGGCATGTCAACGGTGAAGCTGAAGCTAGCGGCCAGAGTACGCAGCGGCCGAAGCAAAAACAGGGCCGTAACGAGCGCGTTCAGCACCCCGTCCCTAAAAAATTATTGAATTCATAAATAATTTAGTTACCGGCAATGGAGGTTGCAAATAAAGTCCTTAGAGAAGAGGAAACATTTGGACCCAATGGGCAGCAAGAAACAGTAGGCCCAAAATAAATAAAAATACGAATAATAGTAATTCTTGCTCCGAAAAAATTGTTTGGTATCAGTTTTGATCCAACTCTGGAACTCAGAATATCTAGGTGCCTCTTAGGGCCCTAAGGAATTTTTTTGAAAAGGGTTAAACCCGTAGACTGGGCCCAATGTTATCAAAACTCGGAATTTTGAAATTTTTCGCTAAAAAAAAATTCTTTCGTGTCAGTTCCAACCCAAGTCCGGGCTTCAAGAGGTTCAAGTGCCTCTGAGGAATTTGACAAATTTTTTTGAAAAGGGTTAAGCCCGTAGACTGGGCCCAATGTCATAAAACTTCCGAATTTTGAGATTTTTTGCTCAAAAAAAATTTTAGCAAAAAATCTCAAAATTCGAAAGTTTTATGACATTGGGCCTAGTCTACGGGTTTAACCCTTTCCAAAAAAAATTCTCTAGGTCCCTTAGATGCACTTGAACCTCTTAAAACTCGTACTTGGGTTAGAACTGACACCAAAGAATTTTTTTGAGCGAAAAATCTCAAAATTCAGAAGTTTTATGACATTGGGCCCAGTATACGGGCTTAACCCTTTCCAAAAAAATTTGTAAAATCCCTCAGAGGCATTTGAACCTCTTGAGACCCGGACTTGGGTTGGAACTAACACCAAAGAATTTTTTCTGACCGGAAATTCTCGAAATTCGGAGATTTTATGACATTGGGCACAGTATACGGGTATAACCCTTCTCAAAAAAAATCTCTAGGTCCCTTAGAGGCACTTCAACCTCTTAAGATCCGGACTTGGGTCGGAACTGACACCAAAGAATTTTTTTTGAGCAAAAAATGTCAAAATTTGGAAGTTTTATGACATTGGGCCCAGTCTACGGGTTTAACCCTTTTTAAAAAAAAATTCTCTAGGTCTCTTAGAGGCACTTGAACCTCTTAAAACCCGTACTTGGGTTAGAACTGACACCAAAGAATTTTTTTTGAGCGAAAAATCTCAAAATTCAGAAGTTTTATGACATTGGGCCCAGTATACGGGCTTAACCCTTTCCAAAAAAATTTGTCAAATTCCTCAGAGGCACTTAAACCTCTTGAGACCCGGACTTGGGTTGGAACTGACACCAAAGAATTTTTTTTAAGCGAAAAATCTCAAAATTCGAAGTTTTTATGACATTGGGCCCAGTCTACGGGCTTAACCCTTTCCAAAAAAATTCATCAAGTCCCTCAGAGGCACTTGAACCTTTTGAAACCTCGACTTCGGTCGGAACAGACACCAAAGAATTTTTTTTTTGAGCGAAAAATTTAAAAATTTGGAAATTTTATGACAGGAATTGACACCAACGAATTTTTTTTTAGGGAAAATTTTTACCTAATCAGATTTTGGGCCCAGTCTATGGGTTTAACCCTTTTCAAAAAAATTCCTTAGGGCCTTAAGAGGCACCTAGATATTCTGAGTTCCAGAGTTGGATCAAAACTGATACCGAACAATTTTTTCGGAGCAAGAATTACTATTATTCGTATTTTTATTTATTTTGGGCCTACTGTTTCTTGCTGCCCATTTGGTCCAAATGTTTCCTTTTTTCTAAGGACTTTATTTGCAACCTCCATTGCCGGTAACTAAATTATTTATGAATTCAATTATTTTTTTGGGGTCGGGGCGCTGAACGCGCTCGTTACGTCCCTGGTTTTGCCTCGGCCGCTGCGTGCTCTGGCCGCTGGCTTCAGCTTCACATATCAACATTAAACCAAACTTGAAGACTGGACATATTTGGTATGTTTCAGAGGAATTCCTGTTCCATATTAGTTGAAAAAGTAGTAGTCCAGCGTCCAAGCCCTTACTAGAATCTTTAATCCGTTTAATTTTATTTTGACATCTTCTTTAAACTGCTTACTTGTGGTTAGTCAGCTTATTTCTTTGTTGTTTATGGTCTCAATAGTCCTTCTCATATCTGCCTCGACTTATGATCAATGACACCATATACCTTTTACACGAAAACGGTATCTGGTTGCCGGCAATGTAAATGAACCTCTGTGAACTGTGTGTGAATTGCTGACTCTGTTTTTTCCCTAGCAACATTTTAGTAAAAATAAAGGCAGTCTGATTTTATAGCTTATAATGAGAACATTAACATTAAATAATTTTATTTTGGTTTTTATTTAAGAAAAGTAATAAAAAATATTTTTAAAAACATTTCTTTCAACGAGAGTTCGTTCCAAAGCTACCGGATAAGAGGCATGTTCGGCTAAATCTTCACATTTTGATGTTTACTGTCTGTATCTCATAGATTGCCCATTCTTAATAAATCACCCTGTATATTGTGTCTTATAGGTTTACCATAAAATATGTGAGGTTACTAAAATGACAAAAGTTATATGCTTCTAATACCAATTTAGTGGTGTTCCTTAATATCTTGTCAATAAAAATAAAAAAAATGTAACCTTGTATTTTCAAAACTTCCTACATTCCTAGATTATTTTAACGATTTGACAACACTACATGGTCGTAACTGCATAATTAATCGATGACTTGCATCAGTTTTTGTATTAAAAAACATTTATAGACCTTTAACATAATAATGCTTCGCCTTGTACATTTCATTAACGTAATATTTCAGAACCTGCGAACCGTTCGATAAGAAAGACATCAGCAACATCAGGAACGTAGCAGACGGAATCACCAACATCCAAAATATCATGCAATGTCAAAATAAGTCTCTTCGCTCCATGCTCGTCCAACTCCTGGATGAACTCAAAAAATCCAGATTGGAGCATTCGCCAGAAAGGGTCAACCAAAATGTAGAAAATAAAGACAACAGTAACGAGACCAACGAATCGTTAAAAAAAGAAATCGAAGATTTGAACACCTACATAGAAAAATTGCAAAAAGAGAACAAAAAGATCAAAGAAAACTTGTACGAAAAGCAAGTCAGTTTGAAAAATTGTTTAACCGTTTTGGAGAACAACAACTCGGATATCGACAACCTGTCTAAACACGTAGAAGGTTTATGCAGACAAAGAGACAAATACGGCGACCAAGTAACTGCATTGGAAAATGAATTGTTATCAAAAGAAAACGAAATATCTAAATTAAAATCGGAAACGGAACAAATAGAAAACGTGAACTCCAAACTCAACCATGATATTTGCTCCCTCAAATCCCAAATAGACACGTATTCATCGGAATATAAAAAATTAAAAAGCGAAATCAATAATACGGTAGAAGATAAAACAGAATTGGAGAACAAAGTAAATGAATATCAAACGCAGTTTGAGCAAATACAAAACGAACTACAAGATAAGCTGAAAGAATTTGAAGATTACAAAGAAGACATGCTAGTTACTATAGATCAATTAAAGAACGATCTAGAGGAAGCTAGAGTTGAACAAGACTCTAAAGGAATCCAATGTACATTCAACCGACCTGTAACATGTAATACCTCTACACAAGAATCTCCCATCATGAAAAATAGAACTGCACAAAGTTTTGAAGATTGCCTGAGTGTATGTTACAAAAATACTCAAGTAGACGATTTAGAGATAACCGGTTGTTGCAAGAAACCCCTTGATAAGGAAATGATAGAGCTAGAAGTCCACAAACAAGAATTGCAAACGTTGGAAAATGAATTTTTGCAGTATAGATGCGTAATGGATTACAGGATTCAATCGCTTGAGAAAGATAATAATGAATTAAAAGAAAACATTTCTATAATATCCAGCGATCACGAAAAGAATCTGAAAAAAATTGACGAAGAATATCATAAATGCAAACATGATTTAGACACTAAAATAAGGACTTTGGAAGAGGACAAATCAATTTTGAGAAATTCGTTAGAACAAGAAACGAGCTTGATTAAATTTGAGCTGGAGAAAGTCAAAACCGAGAATAATATCTACGTGTGCCATTGCAAGAACAAAATCAATGAAATAGAATTGGAAAATTCCGGTCTGAGAGACAAGCTCAGCAATATGGCTAACGAAAATCGGGACAACTTAACGAAACTAGAAGAAAATTATTGTATATGTAAGCATGCTCTTGAGGCTAGAATTAAACAGTTAGATGAAGAAAACAAACACTTAAGAGACACTTTAGACATCGTAACTACTGATGATAACAAATCAATTGAAGATGATTTTAATACATTAAAAACGATCCTTGAAAACAAAATACGTTTATTAGAAAAAGAAAACAGTTATCTTAAAGAATTGATAAATTCTACCACCAAAGATTATGAAGATAAGTTAACAGAAAAGGAATCTGAGATGAAAGAACTGTTAAAAAAAACGGATCAGAATCAAACTACTATTAAAACCTTAATAGACGAACAGAATCAGTACCTACAAAGCATTATCTACCAGGTACCAAACAGCAATCAAACTGCCACCGATATGGGAGAAAATTGTGACTTAAAAACTGTTTTGCAACTTAAAATTAAACATTTAATCGATAACCAATTAAAATTAGAGCAAAACCTAGCAACAGTTAGTTCAGAAAATGTGTCTTACTTAAATACAATCGAAGAATTATCGAAACCTATGAAAAATCAAAAATATACGGTCCTAACTTGCTTATTGGACCAAGTAGATAAAATCAATCAAACAGACGAAATTAAAGGGATAGAAAATGAAACTAACGAGTTGAAAGAAGAGCTCAATGAAATGCAACGAAAGGTGCTGACTTTAGAAATGGAACTGGAAAACGCAAACTTGGAATTAACAGAATACGAAGAGGAAAACAGAAGCTACTCGCAAAGATTGCAAATCTTAATGAATGAAATTAGCTCCTTACAGGAAACGAAACTACACGCAGATGCCGACATCAATGATTACAATCTGAAACTCATCCAAGTACAGGAAGAGTTCACTGTTCTTAGTAGAGACAGAAATCAGACCATAACGGAGCTGAACTACAAAATTACCGAGTTGGAATCTAAGCTCGTAGATTTCGATTGTAACGTAAGCAAACTCAAGGAATCAAAGAAAGAAAACGAACGACTTCAAAATAAACTCGATGATACTGAAATGATGTTAAACAATATAAGAAACGAATTAGATAGTCTGCATTTGGAAAATAATAAACTTAAATCTTTAGAAATGTTGGTACAGCAGAAAGATGAACAGCTAATGGAATATTGTAATCAGTTAAATGTCGTACAAGAACAATTGAAGGACAATGAGTGTAAGTGCCAAGAATATGAAAGTAAGATTAAAGAGTATGAATCTAATAAAAGAGTTCTGGAAGAAAAGATATCAGAATACGAAAAATTGATAAAAGAAACATCTAAAGAAACAGATCGTTTAAGAAAACTCATATCGGATCTGGAAGAGGAGCAAAATAATATAAAAAATAACAATGTAGAGAAAACAGATGAAAATAATAAAGAGCTTTTCAAACAAATTATTACCTTACAAGAACAGCTTAAAAAGAAGAAAACAATCATTAAAAGTCTTGAGCAATGCATCGATAAAAGCAACATTGTTTTACAACATTGCGAAAAAGAAATGAGAATCGTGCAAAAGAACAACGAAAGTCTCAAAAAAGAATTGGAAAACACCACTAAAGAAGAAATATCATTTTTAAAAGAAAAATCAGAACAACTTTTCCAAGAAAATCAACGATTAAAAGAACAGTTGCAGAAAAGCCCTAATCGATTTAACAATAAAGAAAATCTAAAGTTAAAAATAGAATACCAAAGGTTAATGAAAGAAAGCCAGGCTAAAGACAAAGATTTAAAAAATCTTAAACAGCAGTTGATGCAACTTGCTGCGCAAACTAAAAAACCAATTACTGCTCAAAAAGCAGTATCCTTTGCAACAAATACCAAATTATTTGATCCCAAAACTATACAAACCAAACCAGGTTGCTCAAAATCGAACGATTCTGACCCCAATACGCCAAAAATTAAAAAAGACGTAAGGCAGGATCTTAAAAAAAAATTGACACCTACTTCTCCTCAAGTCAGAACAGCTAATCAAAAAATAAGCGACTCTACTAGATCTCCACATTCTGTAACTGGGCGCGTAGCAACAACAAGCCTCAAATCCGAATCCCTACCAAACACACTTAGGAAAGGGGCGCTGATTAAAAATAAACCCAAAGATGTTTCCGTTTATTTAGCGTTGAGCAATGCATATCCATCTGAAAAAGGTACTGGCCGAATACAGAAAACGCAAGCCGTACCTGGAGACGAAGAAACCGTTTCTCGAGTATACGGAGGTGCCAGCGATGTTCCAAAAAACGATCCCCCAAATAAGCGCAAGCCTGACAAGAAATCAAAAATGACAGCACTCCAATTTGCGGGTGCGTCAATTAGCAAGGACGATCCAACTGAATCAGTTCGTCCTGGACCGAGATTTTCAAGAATTGGTGCAGATATACCCGGTGGGCAAATTCAATCTGGATCAAAGAAACCAGCAGCTCCTATGGAAAACCTAAATTCTCCTAATACATCAACTCATTCCAAAGAGTCTGATGAATATGAAGAATTTAGAAAATATACAATAAAAAAGTTGCTTTCTACCAGAGCGCATTCCCAAATTTTCGACGATGAAATTGATCCGAGATTGGTTATAGCGATAAGTGATCAGATGGTAAAACCAAATCCTTCTGATGATCAAACTGAAGAAACTGAACAAATTGAAGACATTGAAGAAATTGAAGAGACTGAACAAATTGAAGAAACTGAGGAATATGAGCAAAGCAAACTTAGTTTAGATACGTTAGTTCTAGACGAAGAGGGACCTATTGATAGGAGGTCGAGTGAAATGAGTAAGGATTTGGATTTAAATAGGGGTTCTGCTGTTTCGAAACATAAAATGGATAGTTCAAAAACGATATTAGAAAGACTTCTTGAATCTAATGATGAGAGGAGAAAAAGCTTAAACCAGCGGAACAGAATATTAACACAACCTTACGAACGTAAAACAAGCAGAGCTACATCTCCCAGAGTATCATCAGAATATATTCATGAAAGAACTAATGATGATGGAAGAAATAGATTAAATACACGGGGAAGACACATGAATGGTGTGACTCATAGAACAACAGTGAATATCCAGGAAGAAATGCCTGATTCTGATTTGAGAAAGAGTATACTGAGTACCCGACCCAGAAGAAGTGTAGCCGATCATAGACTGAGCAGAATAGGTAGTGATAGTACGGCTTCTAGAATATCAGAAACAGATTATACCTATGATGGAAGTGTATATACTGGTACGTTTTATATAGATAACGCAGGTAGTGAACAACGACAACAAAATAGAAAAATAAGTTTAAAAGTGCCAATAGACGAGGAAGAACCGAGCGATCGTTCGTATTTCAAATCGATCCATCAAAATCCTCACGACGAAAGAAGTTCGGATTTCGCCGATTTCTCTTCCTATGTCGCTGCACCTAGAGCCAGAGTGTCTATCGCTTCGAGAAATATGATGATAAGTGCAGGTACGGACCCCATCAAACCGTTACGATTATCCAGAGGTACATCTCCTGAACAACAAGAAAATATTACCGAACAAAAACAACAGACGAACTGGAACAGAAGAATATACGCACCAATCGAGAAACGAGAAGAATATATTGATTTAAGAGGCAGAATCACAGTGGATACCGGTTCAGATGCAATGCAAAAAACGAAGCAAAAATCAGTGCAAATTAATAAAACCAGTTGTAACTGCATGTCGGTGATTATGCAGCAGTACAAAACTCAGGATGGAAGAATTCAGAATGCGTACTCAGACATAGTCCAATTGAATCAAGATTGCCCTTGTCCGAAGGTAAGCCGTACTGGTTGCTCGTTTTCTTTTGGATCGTATTGGGAACAACCGGATTTCGACGGCGACTATTCCGACGAATCAAATTCCGATTCGTCTTCTTTATGCGAAGAAGTTAACATTGGATACGCAATGAAATACAATTACGAAAGGGACGATGAGAGTTTTGATGTGTGCGATTGCGATGAAGAGAATAGCTCTTCGAGTCACGTTTCTTGTTAAAGTAAGTACTCATAAAGGTCTGACAGCCCGTGACAAAAAAGTTGAAATATTTTGACAAAGCTGAAAAGTCAGTAATAGTTTATACTCCGCGCATATAAAATATACTTTATACAATATAAAAATCAACCAACCAGACTTCACCACGAATTTCATAAAATATTTTTTCTACTACCGGAAGATTTATCAAAAAATTAAGGTTTTATATACATTTTCTACACGCACTAGTGCGTAAAGTAGGGTCAGTTGTTCAACAATGAACCGCCTAAAATTTGAATGGCTGTAAATCGATCCAATTGTAACATGAGGTCATGAAACTTTGGCACGTATTAGTCTATCTATTTGCAGTTCTTTTTATATTATCAAAACATCAATTAACATTTTTGGTTCAGAATGGCATACATTTTTTAAAAAAGTAGCATGTGGTTCATTGTGTACACCGGGTGGTACACAATGAATCAGTCGAGCGGACACAATGAACCACGCAAAAGAAACTTAAAATACAGTGGAAACAATTTTTAAGGAATAATAAAAAATACAAGTTTTTTGCTAATTTTTATTTATAAAAATAAAAAAAATAAAAATAATAAAAATGAAATATTTACGTCTCTTTAAAATAAAAAATTTAATCCCAAACAAAAAAAACAAAAAATTATAATTATTTAAAACAAATGAACTTAAAAATAAGACCGAAAAGTGACAACTGAACCTATAGTATGTTTAAATTAGAGAATGATACTTTAAACATAAAGTATTCTTGCTGCCGTTTGGTACTCCCGCATTGTAATGGTTTACGGAAGCTCTATCAATGATATCAGGAAATACAAAATGTTCATGTTCCTTAGATTTTAACATAAGAAATGTTATAAGGTAATCCTCGGACCGACTTATTTCTAATATTTTTCCTATATAATACACAGTTAATTTTGAAGTAGGAAACTCTACCACAACAAAGTCATCTATGTTTGGGTTGTCACAAAGGGTATCAAATAAATCTGAATGCAAACTTGGATACGGAGATTCAATCTCTTTCAAGGACCATGTCGATATCTTCTGAATTGTCAGTATCATCGTCAGATACATGTACTTTCCTTTTTATGGCTTTGTTTTCTTTTAGTTCCTTGCTTCTTCTAGCTGCTAATCTCTCTTCTTCAATTAATAGCTTTTCTGGGGTATCCGTAGCTATAATACTTTTTTTAGCTTTTCGGGTTTTTCTAATAGTTTTCCTTGGCTTGGCCTTCAGGGGAGGCATAAATTTTTGTGGTAAAATAAATGGTATAAATGACGGCCATGCTGTAATATCGACAGAGTTGGTAGATGATAGTGGTTGCGGTTGACTGAGATTGGTGGAACAGTTTCCATTTCTTACAACTGATGGTCCTGCAGTTCTTTCCCCAGTATTGACAGATTGTATTTGGCCAATATTTGCTTGATTTTGATCATTTTGATTTTGAAATGCAGTTACTGTTTCTTTACTTTTTTGTGAATCATCGGAACCGTTGTTATTTGGATTGGGTCGATTGTTAACTTCACTTGGTAAAAAGTCTTCGTCTGAAAATATGTTCCGGTCAAATGGGTATATTCCGCATTTTTTGAAAGCGTTTGAGATGTTTGTTGGAGTCATAGCACGATTGTGAGCTATACCAATACATTTAGCCACATCGTAGATAGCTATAGGTTTACCTGGATTTTTCAATAACCAAGAGTCTACAGCACCATTGTAGAACCATTTAAATGGTGCGTATATACCTACATCTAATAGCTGAAGTCTTGCAGAGTATGAGGATGAAGAGTTAATATAGTCACCCCAGCGGCTTTAGCCAAATCTAATGCTTCTATAGATAAGTGTGACTCATGGTTGTCAAAAATTAATAGTGATGGATTTTCAGAAGAGCTACTGGAGCATTTTATAAAATGTTTTATCACATTCACAAATAATTCTGTGTTCATCCATCCTGTTGAAGTGGCAACACCCAATGAATCAGTTGGAGCTCCTTTCAGCGAAAAATAACATAATATTAAGGTAAAATCATATGCACAGCTTTTGAAATAATTTAAAACCAGTCACCTCTATTTCAAGATGCACTCGCAATTATAACTTTACTTCAAAGAAGTTTCTTGTATATTATTTAAAATAAATAAACGTTTCTTCTACATTTGTTGCCTTCATTTAAAATCTCAAAATATCAAGATGTGGGCTACCAGTTTAACATTTTTGGAAAATATGTGTTGCCTAACCTCGAAGTAAAGGCATCAAAATGGCCGCGCCCTATGTTGAGCGTGTCGGACGTCTCTCTTGCACCGTATAGTAATCAAAGTATGTGCTTCTAACACAGAGTTAAAAGAATGCACTCGGAGTCCATACTCAGAGTCATATCGAACGCGACAGATCACACTCCGAATCTTTAAGAAAACGCGAAAATGAACTCAAAGCAACCTGAGTTTCTACTCGAACTCACGGATAATAAAGCAAGGGACAGAAACTTCATATATGTGTCAGTTTGAAATTAAAATTAAAAACGTTCACAAAAGTGAGATAATTCTACTAGAACAAAAATACAATAAGTAACTACTGAAACTAGCTACTCATTACGATAAGAAAACGCATAAATTCACTTTTTGAGTATAATATTTAGTAATTTCATAATAATGTGTAGTTGTTATTCTACTGACTGTTTTTGAGTAGGATAACTCAACAGTTTTTAATACCAATTTTCTTTTAAATGCTTGATAAAACGGATGTATAAATGTTTTCTACCTAAATTAGATTCAAAATTACGAGGTATTGTTAATTTCTATTAAATTACATTCAATATACCGTGTGAACTAGAAAATGTTTCTCTTTAGTTGGCCATGACCGACAAAGACAACCCTCGAATCGTTGTCCATAGAGAATATTCTAATTTGTATTTTCTTTTTTATTTTTAGAACTTTGGTGTAATGAAGATGGATGCTGTAATTGTAATTGTCAATTGTTTGAAACGTACTTTTGTGATCCACGTTTGTAAAAAGAAATAAGAGAAATTAAATACCTTTTACTAAATGTTGTTTTAACAAAAATAGATATTAATGAGAGATTATATTTTAATGAGAGATTTAATTAAAGAATTATGGACAGAACAGAGAAGACGATGTTTTGCAAGAATGTTTGGCATCCTTGACACGGTAATTAAAGTTAAAAATAACACAGTTAATTAATTAATTAATTTATTCTGGGCATTTCCTAATTCAGTATTGTCTGCCACCGATATATTTAGTATACATACATCTAAAACATCTAAAACAAATTATAAAATTTAAATTTTCTAATTTTGACATACATTCTAAATTCATGCGACAAAATTCAGGAGGTGATTGTTCGTATAAAGTTAAGATGGGCCTTTCCTATAACAACATTTCCTCAGCCAACCCCTTTCCGAGATACCACCCTTAAAACGTGGGAATTAAAATTGAGTTTTTATTTTTATTTATTACGCAACCAGTTGCATAATGTTAAACATTATGAAACTAGATACGAAAAAATTATTATGTTACCAGTTCTAAATATATATTTTTTAAATCAATATATTCAATGTTATTGAAAGTTTATATCAAAGAAGAACAGACTGGCTCATAAAACTAGAATTTGGTTAAACTTACAATTTTGTAATATTGTTGTTTTGGTCCTTATTTTCCATTTTAAATCAGCACAAAATTATTAATATACAATACATCACAAAAGAACCCACTTTATAGAAAATTAAATAACTAACAAACAATATAAACACACTACAAGTCGTCAATAATAAATTAATATAATTTTCTATCCAAATAATCTAGTAAAACTTGAAAAAAAATATTGTATGTAACACCTTTCGAAATGTCGTTTTATGTAACTCGCTCTGCTCGTCTCGCAAATATTCACTCGTTACATAAAATAAAGCATTTCATAACTAGTTGCATAAATAGCTAGATTGTTCATGAAACCTTTGACCTCAAGGATTCTAAAGAAAACAAAATAAAGTCTTTAAACAAACCTAATTTATTCAAAAATCAATGAACATATTATTTCTATTTATATTTTAGATTTTTAAATATTTCTAAGCTTTTTACATTTTTTTTATTGCCTATTACTTCAACCTTCACTTTTCCTTTGCAACAGTTCTGATCCAAAATCTACCATTTTCCCAGGTAAATCTATTAGAAATTATATGGTCCATAATGGCCATTTTTGTCTATATCAAGGTCACCCGCCTGCGTTATAATCTGTCATTTATCAACTGTTATATCTGTCGTCGGATGGCGACACCTGTCATTTTTAAACTGTCATATAACCTGTTAGATAGCGTCAGTTGTCATTTATCATCTGTCATATCTGCCGATAGATGGATGCTGTCATCTGACGTGTGTCAATATTACTAGGTACTTAGGGAGAGTATAGACAGTCGAATGCAATGACTAAATTTCAGTTTACCGTTCTCGTTTTCTTGGAGATCATCAAATCGACTGTAGCTGGTGGGTCGTTTGCAACTAACGTTAATTTTTATTATTTGTCGATGAAAATAAAAGTGTTTTCTACAATTATTTATCAAGTACTAAATATTGTAAAAAAGTGCCTTTTCAAAGATCCAAATGTAAGTAAAATAATAATATTTATTTAATATTGTGAGTTCAGTTCAGTATTATAATTTCAAATAGTATTTAGAGATAATATTAAGTTTTCTAATTGACATGCAGGTATCAGATAATTATATTAATCATGTCCTTTGAGAAGATAACGCATATTGTGATTGAAAAAACTGCACGGCCACCAAAATATACGAGGTAAGACTGGAAATTAGGAAACCGATCATCTGAAAATTGACGTTGAAAAATCCGGCCGCGCTCAAAGTCGGTTGCCTGTGACTGATCTGCACCAACGTAAATTTCAATTCTGATTTTATTCTTTTTGCATCCTCACCAATTATCAAATCGATCTTCTTCATCATCTTGCAACAGATATCTATCATTCTATTGGCTTGTCGTGAGAGTCTTTCACCGGTGTACGCTAAGGTAACAACTCTAATCTAAAATTAAAAAAAAAATGTTTGTATTCTTCTGTACAGAATTTATTAAGGGTGTCGACAGGCCGTATCTCAGAATATTTTGAAGTAGATTTTTTTTGAAAGAAACGCAACCACAGGTCGATTTTTATTTTTTATTTTTACTTGAGGAAATGTAATATAGGTATTCCTTCCTCTGCATAGGAGGAAACCTTAGTAGAGGACGACGAAGTGGAGTTTTCCCACAATGAGTTCAGTCCCCTCAAAAGACAAGAAGACCTATGGAAATTTTAGAGGCCTCTGAGAAGACAGACAAACTCACCAGTTCACAGAGCTGAGCAGAACGATCAGGGTTCTTCAAGTGAACCTTTATCATGTCCAGACAGCCACCGCTACAATATGTAAAACGTTCGACAAAGAAGGTCTAGATTTGGCCATCTTGCAAGAACCCTTGTGACGGGAGGGTAGCAGGCCTAAAACCCAACCAAATTAAGATACTGTATAACGAAAGGTCTAAAAGACCTCATGCATGTATTTTATACAACAATAGGATAAATTGTGCTGTGCACCTAATTACACCGACATAGGAACGAACAAAAAGATGGCTAGTCTGTTCTGCATATTTCCCAAGGATAACCTCTAACTTATAATCGGATGCGATGCCAATGCCCAAAACAAGAGGACAGTCTTTATTACAATTCATCTTATCTGAAGGTAAAGTAATTGCTAATATAGGAAACAAACCAACTTTCGTCACGGCGACGAGAAAAGAAGTCTTAGATATGACTCTGTAATCGAGTAAAGTGGCATGCGTCAGACGAACCAACGTGCTCAGACCACAGATAGATTAGGTTTAATCTAATTATCTTACCTCGAATTCCAACCAAATACAGAAACCCTAAAGATACAACGCTTGGAGATTATCTCGTAGAGTATATAGTGAAAATAACAGATAAACAAAGCCTTGACCGAGCAGTAAACAGACCAAGTAAGTAAGGCCATTACAACAGCTTATGAGGAAATTTATCCGGAGAAAACAAGCCAGCAAGGAACTTAAACAGTCTAGCGGAACAAACGCTTGGAACGTCTTAGAGGTGAAGTGCGAAGGCTATTTAATAAAGCCAAATCAATCGAAGACTAGGCTAAACTTACGCAATACAAACAGATAAGAAAGACTAAAAGACTATCGTGGAGAAGGTTCTGTGAGGAGATATCTGAAACACCCACATTCTCTAGAATCTACAAAGTCTTAGCCAAAGAGGAGGGTACTGCAAATCAAGTAGGATTTTTTAGAAAAGATAATGAAACCTATACAAAAACTTTTGAGGAAACGTTAACAATGCTCACAGAAGTACCCTTTTCGGCTGCAGAAATTTTGTTAGACCCAATAGTAGCATGAAGTCCTCAAAGAAGGTTTCATATGCCAACTCCTTTGGAATGGAGGCTAGCTGCAGAAATATCGAGGCCAAACAAAATTAGATGGGCTACAAATAAATTTCAACCATACAAATCCCTAGGAGTAGATGTAATACACCCCATTGTACTACAAAAGAAACAGGAAACTTTAATTCCACATATGTATCGCATATTTAAAGCATCTTCCTACAGTAGGAAGATTTAATGATATAACTGATGGAAAAGAAATAACCGTATCTAATCGTTACCTAGCTCTTTGTGGAACAGCTACTGGAATCGTTACCAGTAAATCAAAGGTGTCCACTCAAACTACCTAATTGTTATTATGTATTTATACGAGGGTGTTGAAGGTGTTGAAAAATAAGTCATTCAGTGCCAAGTCAGAACTATACGGCGGATGACTCATCGCATCGACGTTTTGAGTGTTCAAAAATGCAGTTGTTTGAGCCGATATGTTGCATTGTCGTGGTAAAGAGTGATACGTTTTCGGCGGTTGGATTTCCTCATTTCTTGGAAGACAACAAGCAAACAAATGGCTATGCACCACTCAGAATTGACTGTTCTGCGTTGTTCTAGTGGACCGGTTGCGACATGTTCAGTTTTTCCGAAAAAACAGGCGACCATTTGCTTGGAAGTGCTTCGTGCGCGAAGAACTTTTGTTGGATTTAACTCATCTTGAAACACCTATATAGTCGACACACGCGTAAATCCACGAATCGTCACCTGTCACTATCTCATAGACGTGTTTCGAAGCACCGCGATCGTATTTTTTAAGCACTTGTTTTGACCAATCGACACGAGCCTTTTTTGAACGATTGACAAATTGTGTGGGATCCAACGCGAACAAATGATCATGCAATATTGAATGTATGCTAGTCTTACTAATGCTCAATCATTTTCGGGTTGTTCTTGTCGATATTGTGAGGAAAATTCTCGGAGATGGTGTCCAGGTCGAGGTTTGGGCGCACCAGGTGTCCGGGGGGGTATTCGCCGATGCCATATTTGGATTCAGCGACCCAAAAAAACCCCGATCGCCTAGTTGCCCTCCTTCCCCGCGTGAATTTTGGGAGAGTCCCACGAAGATGACGTTCGTCGACGTTCCTGAGCTCCAGGTCGGCTGTTGGTCAATTTAGACATCATAATCGTGAACAGGGACTTAGAAAACCTCCGAGCATCCGATCTGGGCTAGTTCTGACACTTATTTAACAAGTTTTGAAATCATCCAAGAGGCCTCTCAAATAATGCATTTTTTGAATGTGTAGGCAACACGTAATAAGGCTACAAAATGGCGGAGTTTTCTATCTCATTTTAAAAGGCACGCAGAAAGCTGCGCAGTGCGACCATTCTCCGTATAGTAAAGTATGTGGTAGAGTCGCCATCAAATTTCATGTAATAATCAAATAATTGCCGAAAACATGATATTACGTCATATTTGGTGACGTGCAACTGAAAGGCTATGCAATGAACTATAGAAAAGAAATTTGCATTATATCTCGAATGAGAGCAAATCACTGCTTAACAAGGTCCTACCCAGGTCCTACCTAAATAGACTGATGATCATTCCCAGTGACTTGTGCGATTGTGGACAAAGTCAGGACTTAGTTACAGTATATTTTTTTCTCATGTTCAAAGAATCAACACAACATAGAAGTTCTACATAATTTCTTGAAGATTCCAAAATTATATACGGTCCCTTTTCAGTGTTCGATCTTTCGATCTAGGGTTCAGACTTTTAAACAGGGAAAACATTTAAATCATTTCCAGATTTCTAACAGCATCCAACTGTAGTGCAACTATCAACTGTGAGTTAATAAAAACAGTGTGTAATTCAAAAGTGAAGCCATAAGAGCCTTACCATAAAGTAGGGTAATATTCCAATCCTACCACATTGCGAATAATCGTCGAGATCACCACCAATCAACATAAAATCATACGCCGAATAGCCTTGGCAGCTGAGGCCTACAAAAATTGAAAAGAAGAAGAACACTAGGGTTGTCCAATCCCGAAATATAAAAGGCAACCCTCGTATATCTTGTTTATATTTGTCAAAGTCATGTTCATTGTCATGTTAATGCTAAGCGCATTTTTTTTTTAATAAAGCCTAGTTTTTTCAATGGTTCTCATTTCAATGACACCAAAATCATGTCGCCCAATCAATCTATCGCCATTCATGCCATAAACGCTAGAATAACTAATAGATAGATATATACGAGACGAACTACAAAGTTTATCATCTGAACATATGGAACAGTTCCATATAATTTAAATCTATAATACAAATCGTACATAGTGTAAATATAGAGTATGGTGTAATATAGATTAATTGGGTATAAATTAAAAATATATTTATATTTATGTACCATTTAAGCGCAACGTATGGTGTTCACACCTGTTATTTACGTCTTACTTTACACATAATTGTACTTAAAGTTATTTACTTACACAGTTCTCCAAAATCCACATAATACTTGCGTATTTTACTTCAACCAAAATTTCCTTACCATTCAGCAAATGTTTCATGATTACATACAAAATTAATATAATCAAATACTCCAAAGTGAAAGCAAGACTAAATAAAACAGCAAACAAAATAACAAAGCCAAAAATATCATTCATAGCCACTACCATTTCGCACAGATGGTCATGGAATATTCTAATATGACTTATTTCCTTCAACAAATTCATCTTTTTGTATGCAGAATGAGTATGAGTGCTGTAAATCGGACTCTGCATTTTCAACGAAAATTGATTTTCAAATAGATTGTTTAATATTTGAAATCTATTGCTGATTTCTAGGGCTAACCAAATGTAGAAGAATATGAGCATTTGTTGCACGTAATACAAGTAATTTCTGGCAAAATAATATCTATAAAAATAATAACCTCCTGTCGATAACCATACGTAAGAATCTGTTGTAACCATAATTATGTAAACGATGTGAAAAGAGATTAAAACAGCCCAGTATTTCTTCCTCATAACTATAATTACTTTAATATGCTTATCGAAGTGCAAAAAATCCGTCAACAGTTTATGGAATTTCTTCTTATTAAAAATAGTGTTGTTAACTGTAGCTGAAAAACATGTTAATATAATAAAAATAATACTCATATCGTCCACCATTTTTAATATGTTATTAAACCCCTTAAACACGGGATCACTCTGTTTGCCCCACTCGATGGAAATGAAAAAGAATATATAAAAACCAATTACAATCACCACGAAATATCGATGCAAAACGCATTTTTTTCTTGGAGCAGCCACTCCTAAAAGAATGCACAGTTTTAAAATGGTGTTAAAAAAATAAACGTTTTGGTATTTTCTGGAAACGGGCTTCATATTCGTGTCGGTTGATGAGCGGAAATAGAAATGTTTTAATATTAGTAGTTAATTTAGACTGTTTTGGTTTGTTGACAATTTAAATGTGTAAACAACGGTGCATTAATGTGTTTAACCAGCAAGACAAAAATAAGGAAATTAGGCATTTTGATTTAAAATGTTACTTAATCGTTTACTGAATGTGATTCGTTTATAATATTTACGAGGCATATCTAGATCTACAGAGTCTTCAACAACGCCAATATCCCACGTGACCAATTGACACTAACAGCTGTAAAAGTAAAAATCTCTAGATATGAGTCAGTGCCGTAGACGTTTTAATACAAAATACAGTTTAAATATGTTAATAACATAAAAAAAAACACATTTATTATAACAGATTTTACTATTAAAATGTATCAGAAAAAATATTATTTTTACTATAATTGTATCATTTAATGAAGCATTTGAAATAAAATATAAAGAATTTACATAGAGAACTGTGCAATACTATAGGTTCTCCTAAAAATTAAAAAGTAGAATCAACTTTGTGAATTCTCTAAAAATTATGGAACACGACTAAGACAGTTTTAACAAAAACTAGGTATAAATAACTTTGATCAAACAATAAGTTAATGTAAGATATCTTAAAGAAAAACCTAGACAGCTTTGTAAATGTGTTTACTATAAAATTACTATAAAAAAGCTGAACACGAACTACAACAAGACTCTAAAGAATTATGGTACCATTTTGAATAATGTTAACAAATGTATTTGCTGCAATGTCTGGATTTCCTAATGCATACACAGGGGACCATGAAATAACTCGAAAAATATTGTTGATTTTATTTAGATTAATAAATTTATTAACAGACTTCAAAAAAGGAGGAGGTTATCAATTCGTCACGATTTTTTTTTTATGTATGTTCAGCGATTATTCTTTAACACGGTGTCCGATTTCAATAATTCTTTTTTTGTTAGAAAGGGGATACTTCAGGGGTGGTTCCATATAAATTTAGTCAAAATTTAATAATTGAGTCCATGAGAAAATCCTCAAACTCTTCATTTTTTATGTATGTTTAGCGATAATGCTTTACCACCTTGTCCGATTTATATGATTCTTTTTTTTGTTAGTAAGGGGGTACCTCAGGGGTGGTTCCGTATAAATTTGGTTAAGATGTGGTGATGGCATCTGCACGTTTTTGAAGTCGGTTTTTTTAAATTTTTAATTTCTAGTACTTGTTTGGGGGTTTATTTTTGAAACAATTCGCTAAAAGTAGTATGCGTCAATTGGCATATGACATTTATCGCATGCGTCAAGGAAAGTATATTTTTGAATGCTCTTCAATAAATATTTTGCGAACAGATCAACCTAACGAAGAGTTGTAGATTACAGTTCATCAAATTTCTAGAGGTGTTCGACGCCCAGACAGAGAACGCGCTACGTGTGACTAAGATAGCTATTGTAAAGTCTGCTAAACAAGTTATTTTAAATAGTTTTTAATATTTTTAGGTAATTAAATTTTAAAAGTGTGGAATAGTTTAGGGATTAAATTGGTCTGATTGGACTTTCTTAGAACGTTTTTAAAAGCAGCTAAAGATAGTATGTAGAATTGAAAATAATTATTATGCCATAAAAGGTGTTTTGGAATTCCTTCAACCTTTTGAAATTAAGTCAGAAAATATAAATTTTATAGGATAGCGGAAAATACCTATAATTTTTTTGTAGGCCTTTGTAAATCGTGGAAATAGTTTATATTTTATTTCTACCTTATTAAGGAAAATGGTACCTATTATTAATAACGGTTGTTTCTGAAACATTACTAAAATTTTTGAAATTTTGTTTTTCTACAAAATAATAAACTATACTATTTAGAAAAAAATTTATTTCTCTTATAATTTTATAAAAAATAACAGGGGAATATTTACATTTCTTGATCTATTAAACAAAACGATAAATTATCTCGACGAATGACACCATGTTCTAGTACGGAAGCTAGCTTTACATTTTTGTTGGTGGTTTCATGGGTTTCATATCAATTTTTTGTAATTGTAGTTTACACGTACATATACCTCTTAACACTTGTTTGCTTTATTAAAAAAGTGTGTTGTTGTGATTTACGTCGAAATAAGTCAAAAACAACTTGAAACCCCATATAAAATCAAAAAGGAGAAACGGAAAAAAATTGAGCCTGTAAATGATCACAACTCAGAAACAAAAATAGCTATCTAATAATAAAAAAATAAAATTTGATTCTTGTGCAGCTTCATCTATATCATTAACTGTTTTTGGTTTTTTAATGGTTTTTCTTGGTGATGAAAATTCCGATATCTCACGGTTATCGATTCTTTTTTCTCTCCAGAAATGCGGACGACAGTGTTTTTAGATACTCCTGTGGCTGCAGCAACACGATCATTTACATTTTTAAATGGTATTGAAGGTGAATTAAAGTTTCCTTCTCTTCTCATAAACTCTATAACATTGGCTATTATTTCGCGAGATTGACTGTTAATCACGCGGCCTCTTAATTTGCTATTAAACTCCATACTTAGGTTCTATTAAACTGTAATGAGCAAAAAACACAAACGAAAATAAAAAAAATGTTTTAGCGAAATTTACATCTGACATTTACGTCTGAATGAAATAGTGAAATACTTGATGCGCAGAGTGTACTTTCATTGCGTAAATCCGTCGGGATGCCTGTCAGTAGTGCTTTCTCTGTCTAGCCGTCGAAAGCCTCTAGAAATTTGATGAACTGTATTTCAGCAAAATTCGATGATCTACCAATAGAAACCTAGTATGAAACTGCTTTACCGAGATGAATAAACGTCATGTCATTGCAAAACTTATTAAATGCCTATTATTTGCAAGTGACGTCAATTTCGCATGCGAAAACGAATTGAGTAAGTCAAAAATACAGTTTAGGTAAAAGTATACGTTTTCGCATACGTCAGGGTGGCGAATGATTCAAAAATTAACCCCCTGATTCACTGTAGGTGAACCAGACGCCTGTCACAGTATCGATAGTATAAGATTCGACTGTTTCTATATTAAAATCGCGTACATATTGATCCATATTTAATTATTAACCCATCATAAAGGGTAAAAGCTAAAATTATTATATTTTAAATATTTTGTGATCACTGTGTAAAGTATAAAGTTTAAAATTACCAAAAGACAAGAAAATTTAATTTACAAAAAACTAATGTGATTAGAAAATGGATTTATAGAATTTATAGAATGAATACTTTTAAAAAATATTAGTTATTTATTTATCACCAGTAGTTGATGTAGAGTTGTTTCTTCCTTTAGGTTTAATGTCTTTCGTGTTACCTCTAGTAGTCACTCTATTCTTTGGCGAGTCTGGAGTATTATTTTTCTCTTCCCTGTTATTTTTTTCTTTTGTGTCTTGCTTGATCTTATTTAATAATTAAATGCTTGGTTTTTGTACGGCTGTTTTTTCAGTTTTTTGTTGAATGTTATCTAATTGAATTGTAGGTGTGGAAGGTTCACTATTTGGTTTCTGCTTAATGCTGTTTTCCAACTCGCTTATGGTGTATCCTTTGTTTCCTATGTATAGTCTATTTCCTTTAATATAGCTCTTCTCTAAATGATTATATTATAGTTCATTATAGTTTATTATAGTTCATTATAGTTCATTATAGTTCATTATAGTTCATTATAGTTCATTATAGTTCATTATAGTTCATTATAGTTCATTATAGTTCATTACAGTTCATTATAGTTCATTATAGTTCATTATAGTTCATTATAGTTCATTATAGTTCATTATAGTTCATTATAGTTTATTATAGTTCATTATATTTCATTGGAAAAAAAGAGCGTTGACCATTTTTAATAGTCATTCCATATCCTTTTTATTATACTTACAATGAATTATTACTCATTTTGTATCTAATACTAACTTTTCCCAATATAAATATGACTTTTCCTCTAACTAATCCTAGTTTATAAAGAAATTAACGGCAAAGTTACAATAATTACAAACTCGATTTTGAGAGAGATAGTAAGAGAAAACTGGATTAATTAACTTATCCAATTAACAACATAAAACGTTTAATGTTTCGAACGAAGTTGATTTCTGATTCAACTTTGTGACTTTTAATTCTTCTCGGAATCAAAGCTTTCAAATTAGGAATATTATGATTCGTGAATGAAAAGCTCATTAACGAGTATAAACTGTATATAATTAATAATATACCGGGTGTTATATATTTTTTTGTCCCCTCTCCTAGTTAAGTAGTTGGACAAGATAAGATTAAAAAAAATGTAAACATTTAATTTTGATTTTTTCGATAATTATTATTAAATAGGCACTCTGATGCGGCTCCTTTGATCTTTAAAAGTATACATTTCAGTTTACACTTGACGTTTACAGAATATGAAATATTTTCATTACACGGACTTGGTTATATCTCGTTAGTTGAAGTATAAAACACAATTGCTCAATAACATCATTGATGACATCACACTGGATCTTTTTGAATTTATAGATTGACTTTATATAAATGGTTACTCCTCTTCCGAAAGTTGGACGATCTTGCCTTATGAAATTATAT